TAAATAAATAAATAAATAAATAAAATTTAAAAAATAAAATAAAAGATAAATTGATTATTATGTGAATAGAAAAAAATGGATGTCTGTTTTGTCATAATCACTAATAATTTTTTAAAAGAAAGGTTTACATGGATTTCACCTTTAACGGCTAAAGTGTCGATTCACTGCGGACCACTTAGAGCAGAATTTCTCTTAGCAGCAAGAGTAACTTCACACCTATGTGATCACCCCATATGCTTCTTATTTCTGTCCCCATTTTCATGATCTCCTAGCCAAGCCTTATCAACAAGCCCCCCAAATTTACAGTAGCTCCATTAGCTACTAGCTTCCTGAATGTTGAGATCAAAGACACAATGTTCAAAGCCACAAAACAGCTGGGACATTCCGCTGTTAGCCAGAGAATGCCTACACGCTGGCCCGACCAGTCACCTGCTCCCATGGGTTCTCCAAGGCACAGAATGTAGAAGTAGACACTGAGATCCTACACCATAGAGGCAGGCTAGGAACAAGACTGGAGAGTTCTGCCTTCACCTTATTGCACAACCCCATCTTCCCCGCCCATTCAACCGGCCAACAGATGCTTTGGTGAAGGTAGATGTTGGCCTGCAATGAAAATCAGCATTGACATCCAATGGCCTCAGTAACACTGCGTGAGGATTTTGTTTTCTGTCTCCGACACAGGCCTACTTTGCTCAATGTGGATTTTTGTTCAGAACCAGTATCTCCTTTTCTACATATGGAATGAAAAACAACAGAGTTACCTGGATATCTGCTCCTAACACCCTCTGACCCTGTCTCTCCCCGCTTCCCAACAACTGTTTCTCCTGGAAAAATGCTCCCCACCTTGCGGGGACCAGCCCTGCCCTCACCCTGCCTGCATGGCAGACCCTGCTGTGGTCCTTGAACCTCCATTCTCCCCTTCTTCCATAGTGGGCTTTCTCACGCTGACACTGCACACATTTTGGGCTAGACCATTCTTCATTGTGGGGGCTGTCCTGTGTACTGCACATGTTTATAGCACCCCTGATCTACACCTGCCAAACCCAAAATGGTTCCCAGGGCTGCCCAGTGTCCCGAGAGCAAAGCTGTCCCTGGCTCAGAACAACTGTTCTGCAGGAGAGAAGCTTTAAGCAGGCCTGTGGCTGCCCAGCTGCAGATCAGATTTCCCAGGCTTGTCCCAACCAACGTCTGGCAGATACGGGAGTACAAAAGGCTGGCTCCTGGCCTGAGGGAGGAAGGCATGCAATGCCAACCCACAATCCAGAGTCCCCTCCCCGCCACAGATCAGCTGAGGCCAGGCCTTGTTAACACCATATCTTCACTGGGCTCTCACCCTTCCCCTAAACTGCTTCCTTCCCTCCCCTGCAGGGTTTTCTCCTACATTCGGGTTTGGGCTAAATGACACTCCCCTTCTCCAGAAGATATGTTATCATCTAAACCCCCCACTACCTCAGAATGTGACCTTATTTGGAAACAGGGTTGTTGCAGATGTAATTATTTAAAATGGGAACATAATGGAGTAGGGTGGGCCCCCGGTGTCCTTATATGAAAAGAGAAGACACAGACACACACAGAGAGAAGGTCATGTGATGACGGAGGCAGAGACTGGAGTTACCACCAGAAGCCAGAAAGAGACAAGGAAGGATTCTCCCCCACAGGTTTCAGAGGGAGCATGGTCTTGATCACGGACTTCTTACATCCAGACTGTGAGACAGTAAATTTCTGTCATTTTAAGCCTCTAACTTGTGACGTTTTGTCACAGCGGCCCTACAAACTAATCCACAGCCAAATCCTTATCTCAAGCTCTGCTTCCAGGGAACCCAACCTCAGACAACTGGCCTGTCTACTCACGGAGGTAAACTGCAACTGAGCCAGCCAGAGACCCCCAGAGTGTGAAGTCCAGAGCCACCCTCAGTTGGGGGATGGGAGTCTGCTCTTCTCTCTGTCAGTTTCCACGAGACTTTCTTTGAGGGAGAAGGAAGGTGGCGAAGGAGAGGAGGGGAGGGTGGCAGGTGGGAGAAAGAAATTCACTTGGGGGAAACCTTCCTTCCTTCCATCCTTCATTCATTCAACAAATGCCAGGCACTGTTGTAGGTGCAGGGCACAGAGAAGTGAACGAAAGAGACAAAAATCTGTTCTCATGGGGTTTACATACTAGTACGGGAGGTAGACCATAGAATATATGGTCTGCAAGATGATGGTAAGTGTCGTGGGGAAAAGTAAAAGCAGGGGAGGGGGAGGAGTACCTCGGGGGAGGGGGAGGGGGCTGCCATGGCAGCAGAGGGATGCAGCAGACACTGCCTCCGGTGCCAGCTACAGACGGTCTCAAAGCGCCACTTGGGCACATTATCAGCAGCACACGTGGTCTCTTTCTCTTTTCTGTCCCCGCCCCTGCGTGAGGCTATGGGAGCCCACCTGACCAGTGTGCAGGGGCCAGACGGCAGCCTGAAGAGTCACCACTCACTCCAGAGGTGCCCTCCTTCCCTGGGTCTCCTCAGCCCTCACTCCTGCTTCCTGGGATCACCTCCTAAATTAACTGCCTGCACCCGCGTCCTGGCCTTGGCCTCAGATTTCAGGAGATTCGGAGGCAAGGTGTGTGGATGTCCACATTCTCTGTATGTCCAGGGTGTTCCATAGATGTGCAGAATCAGGCTGGCCACAGAGTTTATTTTGTCCAGTGGGTCTCCCTCTTTCAATGGTTTCCCTAATTTCTCAATGGTTGAAAACCCAATGATATCACATATTGAGGAGGATACACGGAAAGCATCCAATATATCCTGGTCATGTGATGGGAGGAGGATACGGGATCAGAGCAAGCACTGCTAACACCTTGACCACCACCTCCTGGTCCTGATCACCTCAGTGCACACACACTTGCATCCAGCTGCCAGCTCTAGAGTTTTGTTTTTTGGGTTTTTTTTTTTTTTTTT